TGTACTGTCCATTAGTAGACTTATTTTCTGGATAGAGTGGTGCTAGTTCATCTTCTATTTAGTGGTTGTTGTGAGGTGTTTTCATTTCAGCAAATTTATAGTTTCAGCTGGATAATAAGTAAAATTTCGTGTATATTTCCCCCCTAATGATGTTTTTTAAATTTCTACTCATCTGTAATGTCAAATACTGTGCTTTGCACGATATAATTAAGTCTCCATAGATCTGAATCGTTGAACTCAAGAGTTGTGACTGAAAGCTAATTTTATAGTAAATTCGTAAACTACTCACGAGTAGTCAGTAATTTATATAGAAAATTCAAAACATCATTTAGGCAATTAATTATAAGCAAATGAGCATTCCATTACTTTAGAACGAATCAATGAAAGAGGCAACTGAATACAAATCACATTTAACATATATAACGACTACTCACTTGAATCCAAGGTGTGATACGATTTGCGGTGAAAATTATTAGTGAACTTCAGACAAACAAAAATGAAAGTTTACTCAGGATTCTTAACTAGGCAAGAACGAAAGTGTCATTGAGCACAAAAATCGATTGACATCTAGACTAGTGGATTAGAAAAATATAGGGAACCTGGAAAAACTCAGTCGTAGATCTGCATGTGACTACACACAACCACAAAACAGGATGAGACAGTGAAAAAGTGGAGGGCAAGATTGATAACTGAAGTCATATTAATCGAATCAACTGAGTACACATACAATAAGAATGGTTCAACACCTTCCTCAGACATTTTGGAATTGGAAGCTAATATGGAAGAAAGACCTGCGTCGGTGGAACAGCGGTAGAATGGTCACCGATCACTCAGGTGTTCCGGGTTTCGATCCGCCGCCGACACACCCCTTTACCTTGCTAAGCCAGTAATAAGACTGGTAAAGAGGAAAGGTTGGGCATAAGGCACGCAACCCTATCCCATAAAAGTAAATACCACTGCTATCGAAACTTTAAGCCTCTAGCCTGAAGCCCTGTGTTCCACTGGGAACGTAAAGCAATAAAAAACGGGGAAAAATAGTAATGAAGTGAAAATAGTAACATGATTTGAAAACCATAAAACTAAACAACAAAAGGAAAAGATGGGGTTAATTGAAATAGCGACTCATGATGTATCGTTGTAATGTATGCGACACGGTGTATAGTATCTCCAAACGATCAGCTAGATTCATAAATCCAGCTGTTAAGTATAACCCCATGGACATATCAATCTTTTATTTCCTTTTATAGAGTAAAAACCTCTTTCCAAATATAAAGTGATATTTTACTGTGGACTGTAAAATCTTGTAGTGTCATATAGTTGAGCGAAATATTTACTTACTACTGTACACTTTCATGCAAAATACAGCCTATTAATTTCATGTTGTCAGAATTTTAGTTTTCAGTCCCTTTTGGTAATATTGTTGGTTTCTTTAGCAAATCACCTGGTTTGACTATATATTGAAGGATTGTTTGTGCTTTTAAAGGTATTTGTTCTCGTGAGTTAAGATGTATAAGATGGACAAATAGCCGTAGATGTCGGTAGGTAGGCAGGTATTCTGTGTCCTAGCAAAATGTATCTGATATCTAAAGCGAAATAATTTTCTCCCAGATATTAAAAAATCTCCACCACTGTACGACTATAGTTAAAGGCGTTCTTAGGTATCCCATTTACGGCAAACATAGGGAATAGCGACTGTGAAGTGCGGACGCACCAATGACCCTGAACGCATTTCATTCGTTGGATTACCGAACTTGCCGTGTACGCTTAATCAAGAAGCCATTTATTTACGAGAAAAATTAATATAATAAAAGCAAAACTCATTAAAAACGATATTTTTTGATTCCTTTGTATCCCAGTGGAACATAGGGCTTCAAGCTAGAGCTTTGAAGTTTCGGTAGCAATGGATTTATTTTTGCGGGGTGTTGTTGCTAGTTTCACGCCCAACCTTCCCTCTTTACTGGGCTTATTACCAGCTTAGCAAGGTATGGTAGTGTGTCTGCCGCGGATCAGACTCTGGACCACCTGAGTGGTTGACGATCATTCTGCCTCTGCGCCACCGAGGCAGCAAAGACATTATCTTACCCTGACGTAATTGAGAAATAGACCACAGTTACAATGAAGGGTGTTAGTTCTCAAGTTCCACAACTATCAAAACAGTGTCATCTGTATGAACAAGGAAATACTCTCCTCCCATAGATATTTATTTACAAGAAAAGTCTATATATTAATAAACACCCTAACTCTGACACATGCCTATAACTTAATCCTGACCCTAACCCTAATACTAATAGTAACCATAACGTGCTATCAATCTATCGTTCAAACAGTACATAGAAACGAGATCACAATGAAATTTTCAGCTCCATTAATCCACAGCGTTCATACTGGCACTGGATAATAACGGCAAGTTCTGAAATCCAATGGACGGCATGTGTTCAGAGCCATTGAAGCTTTTGCGCTCTGCGGTCCCTATTCTTTGGGTTGGCTCAGTTCACAACTGACTTCCTTTAGAATTAGATTGTAAATCCTTAATGATTATCTAATTTGACGTCTATAATGTTATATTTTCTACTTTTAATAATATTTTAAGTTGAATGGTTTACATGGCTGAAAACTGAACTATGAACATAAGAGTAATATGAATAGAAAGATAGGATGGGATTTCTAAATACACACTAAGATATTGGCTACTTTTAATTAATGTTTACTTGAACCTATACGTTTATTAGCGGAACTATGAGTTCGAAGTCAGTGTATCATTGTGGGCTAACAAATATACCTTGGGTGACAAGATATCTGGTTTTGTTTAATGCGAGTATTGTTCATAATGCATTGATTGTTTCCTGTTTTTTCGGATAGGGAACAAAACACTATTTTTTCAATGAGAAGTGTTCCGCTTCTTTGCTTACTGCAGATGGTGTGCTCCAAGATGGCGTACTTTCTCCACTTGTGTTTTCTATCTTTTTACATAACTTACTGTATATTCTTTTAAAGAAAATTTCATTAAATGTGTCAGTGATGCGATAATTTCTGTCCCAGTGGTTTCTGCATTAGAGTGTTCTGATGTGAATAGTTTCCTCCCTAAGATTACACTGAATGAACCCCAATGAATGCCAGGCTGCTCATTTTAGTTTCAAACGTGAAGAAGACTTGTATAGACAAGATTCAGTTATATGAATCCTGTAATATCGACGACACTGTTGTAAGAAATGTGTCGAATATTGAGTTTCTGGGTAACAGTCTCTCTGTCAGCCTTTGTTGGTCGTCTCATACCCTGTTGATTTCTGAGCAAAATATTTCGTTCAGCTTATCAAATGAGGAAGTTAAGACCTCTTCTCTTACACTTTATTAATTGATTTATTCTACCTATTGTTTTTTATCGTTCCCTCTTATTCTCTCGATTTGTCAAAAGGACTATTTGAATAAGGCATTAAGAAGACAAATTTCGCGAGATGATATCGTCATTTCGTAGTTTCTTTACAACCGCTTTACAACTAACATGGTTAACAATGATAAAATAAAGTTCATGAAAATTACTCAGTTAAATAAAAACAAAAGTACATACTAATGACCAATCATATTAAGATAGGTCATGCAGTCCAGGGTAGGCGAAGATTGAAGTCTATTGATTTTCGTACACACAGTTTAGGCTGTATGTGATTAATACCCCAAAGTGCTTCCATCACCTTCAATAATCTTGAATTAGAGTTATGTGAAATAATTGTGAAACAGTCATTAGTATTGATTTTGTGAGCAGACATTAATAAGTGTTTTGCAATGGATGATGCTGGATTTCTATTCAGATTAATCGCGTTAGGATTTTCGATATGATTTACTAGCCATTTTGGAACATGTTCTTTTCGACGACATTGGAACATTCTGTTAGTTCTACCTATATAGGTGTTACCGCAGCTGCAGGTGAACTTGTAGATACAGTTTGAAGTAGAGTCCACAGAATTTCGTCCTTTAATCGTAGGTACAGGGATCGAAAATGTTCGGCAAGTGAGAAAAAGAGATGCGGCGTAGAATGTTCGTTTGATTGCTGACCGAAGTCTTTGAGCTGTCAACTGCATTATCTCGTCACCCTTGAATGGTAGATTAATAAAGATACCTTTCTATGATACAGGTGTCGTGTATCCTCACTGTGACAAGTGATAAAGTTTTCTGGATAACCATTGGCTAATAAAACTGAGTGTATATGTCGAAGCTCATCCATCAATGTATCACTCATGCATATTTTTCGAGCCCATGTTAGTTGTAAAGCGGTTGTAAAGAAACTACGAAATGACGATATCATCTCGCGAAATTTGTCTTCTTAATGCCTTATTCAAATTTATCAAAGGGACTAATTGTTTTAATAAGGACTATGTTGTATTACGTAAGAGCGTGAAGGTTTCATGGACCATTGGATTCTGTTTCAATGGGAAGTAAAGGTTAACTGCCTAAACCGTCGAGATGCTGAGGATCAGTGATTGAACGTTCACTGATACAGCTCAGAAATGAATGCAGTTGCACAGATATACTAATTTGCTCTATATCATTTCAGAAAAAAATAATTTTAGTGCCTTTACTAGATGGGATTGCTAACCTCACTCCCAACTTCTGCTCTTTACTGGCTCACTACCGGCTAAATGAGTTTTAAGAGTGCGTCAATGAGGAATGGAACCCTGTACCATGTGCTTGGATGGCTTCTTTTCCATAGTTGAGTCACCGACGCATACTTTTAGTTAGTTATGTTACTCAGCAGCCACTTGCAATTCTTTACAGGTAGAAATGAGCCACACTTATCTTGTGAAGATTAATATATACTACCTGATTGCTCAGACCTAGTTAAGTGAGGTGGGTTCGATTCTGTGACTCATTGGTTGGATGTCGAATGTCTACATGAATAATTCACAGCGCCACACATCTTCGTATTAAAAAAACAAACAAAATCGTAATAACTTTGAACAGTTTATTTCATGGAGTTTGAATCTCCTGTATTATTTTATTTCTTTCAGCTAAACCGTTAGTGAGAAGAACATTGGAACAGCCAAGACCACTGGTTAGTGAATTAAAACAAAACTTTAATCATAAACCTGAAGATGAAGCCTAGTAAGTTATGTACACTTTGCACAAATTTCATAGAAATAAGTTTTGTGGATGTTATGTAGTGTCATTGGATTCTATTCTCAGATATTATGATTTACTGTGTGCATGTTTATTTGGAGACTTTTTTGTAATTATTTTTATTATCATCACCATCCCTTTAGGTTTCAAGTGGAACATAAGTCTTCAGCAGTACATCTTCGTTTTTTCCTGTTCTCACAGTCCTCTATAACCGGCTCTACGATTGGCCATAAACTATTGTCTCCCTTTCATACAGTCTCTTCCATGCCACCTTTGTGTTAGATATCACATATCTTGACGTCACATTTACGCAGTTGAGAAGGAAAAAGAGTACTCAGCTTCTACAATCATCTGTACAGTTTATCAACAAACTGTATTTCAGTTATTCATTTCATCGCTTCTAAAACTAAAAGGATATTTATTTTTATTCAGTCATGGAGTTGGCGTTGGTGGCTTAGCTGTAGAATGCTCGCCAACCACACAGATGGCCCGCGGTTCGATCCCTGGCCGACGCATCCCTTCGCCTAGCCAGGCTGGTAATAAGTCTGGTAAACAGGGAAAGGTTGGGCATGAGCCTATCAACCCCAACTGCTACTGAAACTTCAAAGCTCTAGCTTGAAGTCCTATATTCCAATGGGAACGCAAGGAATAAAATTTAAAAATATAAAATAAAGTCGCCAAGTTGGATTATCACTAAAGCTATTTTCGCATCCACCACAACACGACTGGATTGAATGGAGAAATCAGTCATTCACAAGGTGATAGTCTTCTATTTATAGTAAGTTCTAACAGAAATTCATGTATAAGGTAAACATTATTGGTGGAAATGACTGACTTAATTGTTAACGCATCTTATCGTTCAGCACAACTCAATAAATGTACAATTTGTTTTTCTATACTTCTGTTTACCAATTATATCAAGCGGTTTAGATATATATCTGAAGAAATAAAACCTTCACTGTTAAGTTAGTGTACATGATAACAAGTATAAATAAGCGCGAAATGTTAGATGGTTGAAGACAATCAACCGGAAGCCCCAAACCTAGATTTTGCACTTATTGGCACTTTTTAGCAAGGTGAATTTTCACTCCTTTTGGAGATTAAACTCGCATCACCCAGTGTTTTAGAGTCAATGACGGTATCTGAGTATCTCGCAGTGTAACGTCTCTAACTGAAGCACTGTGTGACGTCGGTTTAAACTTCCCAGAATATGGCATTATGCTTCCACGTTGTAGATATGCCTTTACGATGAATGGCAGTAAGCATGAAACTGGGATCCACGACTTCCTGCTGATTATCTCCAACCGTTTATCACTAGTTTTAAAAGTTCACTTGTTTGGCGAGTCTCTTAGACTGACTACAATGTAACCTGACTGATAAGAATTCTATCAGCACTACTGGTTTACAACCTAGTGACCAGCTAATATAGTCACATATGGATTCTTACTTATCATTTGACAAAAAGTAAGTATATAATGTATTCAAGTACTGGTTTGTAAGGATTTGATTGATTCGTTACAGAATTTCATCATGAGGTGCTCACTAGCGACTAGCCCTACTCAGGTAAGTAGTTACATGGTTCTAGTAGAAATTCATGACCAGTATGGTACAGCACGTTGGGGATGGGGACAAATACTCGCCGAAGACACTGGCTAGTGGTCGCGCTATTTCGTGAATTGAAAGAAGCTGGGATTCATGAACTGGTCGTTGGATCGGGTCCCAGTGGCTTAACGGTCTACGAGGTCTCTCGTCTTGCAACCAGAAGGCCCTGGGTTCAAATCCTGACGGTGGGTGCGTACTGTGAAGAGTCCTTAACAGGGACGAAACATCTGTCCAGCTATCTCAGGCTTTCCAATGGTTGTCTAGCGGATGTCAGCTCATGATGAAATCCTATATTCTGTTTGTTTTACATATCTTTTCTAGTATTTCCACTGAATTTGGTTGTTTTCTTTTACAAAATAAATAGTAATTCTTTTTCTTGTTCTGTTACCCTTCTCCTTTTTTTCACAGTAGTTCTGCTGCTGAATCAACTGAAAGTGCTAAATTATCTAATGTTTGTCGAACAAAAGACAGTAAACAAAATGAATTCCCAACTCCAGCATAACACGTAATTTAGTCGCAAAATTTTCTGCTCTATCAGCTGCATCATGAAGTGGATTTTCACTTGACAAACTTCTAAAATACTACTATTATAATTATTACTAATACTACTAATAATAATGGTAGTAATAATGTTATTAAGAATAACAATAATGTTAACGAGATTATGGAATTCGAACAAAAGAACGCTTATTAATTTAACTCAAAGTGAAGTATATATATATATATGTTTTTGTGTGTGTGTGTGTGTGTTTACTGTTATTATCCCATCTTAGTGTTCTTGCTTTATGCTTACTGCTCTATACTATTACAACCTAACTTCAGTTGTATTTCATCGATTAATCATCATTCAAGCAAAAGAGAGGGCGAGATTTACTTGAGAAAATCCCTTTCTATACTTATTGCTTACTTTGCTTTTGCTGAATATTATTCATTCGTGCATTCATTCGTTCATTCATTACTTTTAATTATAAACTGCCTATTATTTTACTGCTGTATTCAATCCTAGTTGTGTTTCCCTATTATACCCATTTTCTTATGAAGAGAAGATGCGTGGGTGGGAGGGTGTGCGCGTGAATAGAAGGATATTGATGTATGTTTGTGTGTACTATTTCCTCTTGCTAAGCATATTTCTTATGAATATCCAACTGAAAATTGTTCATCTTTGAGTTTAAACCGCAACTTTATATCATATATATATAATATATATATAATATATATATAATATATCATATATATAATTGGTAACAAAAGTTGGTCTACGCATGATAGTTTCTTCTACACTACATTGTTAACATTTTGGTGTTGTCATTGGTGACGTTTCGTTGTTTTTTCTTTGGTCTTTCCTTTATGAATATTCATTAATAAGACATTCCTTCATTGAATAATACAGGTTCAATTCATTTTCATAGTCTTACGATGATGGAAATAATACAAATTCGTGTGATTTTAGGTCGTGTAATTCCTTTTATTGTTGTTGTTTATATATAGAATATATATTTATATATAAAGAATGTATTTTAATGCCTTTTGCTTACTATCGTCATTGGAGTAAGCGGGTATGTGGCGGACCTTAGACTCTGCTAACTCAATATACCGAATTCGAATCGAAATAAAAATACCATATCAGTAAAGTTAGTGGAGGAATATATTAAAATTTGTTACTTGGGTTATTACAAGGTCCAAACCCACAATTAACGTAGTGGACTCCAGAAGTATTTTGAGAAGACTGCTCCAATCTTAATTCTCCAATATCAATATTGCTAGAGGTCGACCAAGGTAACTTAGGGAGAAAATACGGTGTCCCTGCGAAATTTTGAAATAGAAGGTAGGTGATTAGAATCGGCTGATGTCAGTTGAGGTTGTGGAGAAGACAGAGAGTTGTAGGCAGAACTATATTTCCATTCAAACCACGAGGTTAAGTTCAAAGTACAGAGATTCTGGTTAAAACAAAGTCATGCACGATATGTTCATTTCTCACATAATAGTAAAAGTTGGATAACTTTATTTTTGAGGTCTCCACAGGGGAATCGGAGTGAGGCACTCCTGTTTATCCTTTTACTGAAGTCAAATGAAGATAAAGGCAATTTACTTTGAGGTATATAAAGTTGTATATTATGGCTGAAGATATATGCAATGTTAAGCATAGGCGCACACAGTGGTTAACTTAAAACATTTTTGAGAGATAAGTCGATTGGAGGTCTGAGGCAGGTGGCATGGATATACGAATCAATCCACACTTTATACAGTCACAGTTATATTTACTATGGTTAGTAATGCTCTTTCGTGGATATATTACTATTATTATTCCCATGGGTTCCGAGTGGGACATAAGGCTTCAACAGAACATCTCCATTTGTTTCCTGTTCTCTTTTTCATATGATCCCACTATCTCCTGTAAGCTTTTATTTCCTCCATATTACCCCCGAACACCTAACTTGCCGTTTCCCACTGAAGGACTAGTCTGGTACACTGTCACCTAACGGTCTCCCCAGGGTGCGTCAGAACCTTATCCATTTCCTTCGGTATATTTGCGGATAAAGTTCATTTAAATGTCATTTTATTTGTGTACGGATATTGAGCTACTGAGTGAGCTGTTAGCGTAATGACAGCTACTCTTATAGAGTCGTTCTTTCCTCATATTTCATCAATATGGTCGGATTGTTATGCTCGACTGAAAGTTGGTCCATTTTTGTTTGCTTCATGATATTATATGAGTTTGTTAAACAGGTGTATTATGCGTGAAGTGTAAGATGAAAAGTAAGCGAGATGGAGAAAACTTAATTAAAAGCAAATGAATGAAGTAAAGTAAATAATCAATTCACCAAATATCCAACATAAGCACGCTGACATCCCTGGTATATCACAACCTTCTAACGGTTTGGCGGGGTATGCCATTCCCCAAATCTATTTGTTATACTTGCCAACCACGTCTCCTAAACCGTTAATGCCCAGCTCTTGCTGCACTCGGGCTCACGCTGTTCCTTGAAGTTTCTCAGAAACGCTTAGTAATAACGGACGCAAAAACCGAAACACCAAATAGCGACTCGAGGATTCTTTATTGTAACACCAACATATAAACACTGTTACAACTAAGGTTTCTGACGGTTTTCTGCTGACTTCTTTCTGAACAGCGACCGATGAGACGATGACTGTCGTATTGATGCCTCCGCGAAAATTGGGGAAGTTGATTTTGAGCAAACAACCAAGAATTGATCGTTCAATCTTCAACTTCATTGACACTCCCCTGCCAAAAAGGGATCCAACCCTTTTTTCCATCACGACCAATACACGCTGACTTGGATGCCATTGCGAGAACCTGGGTCACACGGACAGAGCTGAAATGGAAAACAAACAGGAAAGCCAACACACCACAAGCATACCCACAGCACAATCTCACACATCAATGACGACCTGCGCCTCCAGACAGAGACCTCCTCTTGACATCTTGCAACACAATCGCCGCTTGCTAGAATGACTCTTGCAGAATGCAACGTGACCATAGCACCACCTAATGATACTCTTCGCACATCGTCTTATCTACTCACTACCAATTACCACTGCAATCGCTTGTCACTCATTCTGCCTCAGTTCTAGTAGCGGTGACGCATGCGAGCCTCAGTCGTTTACATTCTTTCTCCCCGGCGTGTCGGACCGCAGCTAACAATTATCTCCGTGTGCATTTCATTCTCAGCAATAGCCTCCCCGGCGTATACGCCCCATCTGCTGTCCTTAGCATCAATCAATTCATTCATGGATGTAGAAGACTATAAACAACTTCAGAAGTAATCACGACGAAAAATTTAACAAAATTATGCAATAACAACAAGGTACGAAAACAACGAGTAAACACAATGAATCCAAAATACACCAGTTGATATGACACACCACACGTATATACAAACAGTACGCATAACCTCGCAGATCATGTCTTGATGGAATTCCCCTGAAGAATCTCAGGACTTACACCAGTAGGCCTGCAACCCTTCTCAGGTTGAAGATTATAAGTTGTAGAATGTCCGAACACAAACAAGATTGACCAACAATCACATTATTCGGAACCCACAAAATTATTTGACACAAACATATAGACAATCGATACATCAAATGTGGTGGATTATGCCTTGACGAACTACCCTTGAAGAACTGTAGGACTTACAGCAGTACGCCTACATTCCTTCTCAGGTTGATGATCCAAGTGGAAGTCATCCGGACACAAACAGAATTACCAACAGCTAGATGATAACAATTCAGTATATACAATATGAACATATGTACAAAATCACACACCAAGCACATTGCACTGCTCATTGATGCGCTACCCTTAGAAGAATTGTAGGACTTACAGCAGTACGCCTACAACCCTTCTCAGGTTGACGCCCTAGGTTGGAAAATCATTGCAGAGTTCATTTGCTGACCTCCTCCTATCAGCTATATCTTCAAATCTGAACGGCAACACGCCCATGTCATTGTATCGTAGAATATAGATGACTAACAAACACACGACATATCTGGTCAACCAAGCGTAGACACAGAGTAATTTACACCAAAGATAGTAGCATTCAAATAGTAACTTGAAACTAGAAATGCCTTTATTCATGCAAGTCAATTTAACAATTACTTTCTCGTTTACACTTGGCTTATTCTAACGAAACTGAGCAATATCTTTCGTCTTTTCAAATGCACCAATACTATCATAGTCATTGTACAAGGCACTTGAGTTGATGGGCGTCTGTTTCATTGTGGATGACAACACCAACGACGACTGATTGATATCAGTTGATGAACTTAGCGGTGGATCAGAAGCTGTTGTTGTTCGGCTTTCAGATAGTTGTCCAACTGCAAGATTACCACCACTGCTGTCTTTCACTACTAGTTCGGGTTTAGCACTATCATCTGATGATAGGTGGGCTACATGCTGATCAATTACACTGACGGTCTCACAAGTATGCACACCTTCTGCAACTGCATCTGCGTTCAATTCTACTTCACGTTGTAGTTGTACAGAACCTTTGTTCAACTTAGCAGTAGTAGGCATTCCCCTCATTTCATCATGATCAACCAAAGACAAATCTGCACTATCATGATCATTATCACAAATATTCAATTTACCATCATCTATCTGGTCGACTCATCATTTTCAAACTCTTTAATAACAGCAGTATATGATTTGGGTTCTTCCTCACAAATCCCTAAAGATTTCATACCTTCGCTCTGACTAGTAATACCTTGTAAACTTGTGGAGTCAGAACTGCACTCTGAAGCAATAACTCTATTCTGTGACACTCTATTCAACAATGGCTTACCAGTTGCAACTACAGACTTCTTGACCACACCGTCATCGTCACACAATTCGGAGTCAGGCCTGGAGTTTACATTTAGCTTATCACTGAACTTGCTCACCGGTTCACAGTTCACCTCTGTATGCACCTCTTGCAAACGTGTAAAACACAACCGTGTTTGTCTTGCATCTTGTAACTTATCTGTTGAGGATGTACTACGAAA